AAAAAAAGTACCCAAGATACACGTAAGAAAATGTTAATTATATTAAAAGGAAAAAAGAAGATCCCCAAACTAAGAAAAGAGAGAAGTGTAGATTCTGCATCTTTGTTTGCAGCTGGAGAAAAATCACAAGAATGGCTTGTTTAAAATTAGATTTTTTTTTCTTGGTGCTCTGCTTCTGATCTCTATTTATACCCTTTGCTTTCATAGTTATTGGTCCTGACAGACATACTGTTCAGGGATGAAACCCTGGTATTCTAAATATCAGACGCATGTATCCTTTTATTTTTTTTTTAATTTTTCTTTTTTAATGTTTATTTATTTCTGAGAGAGAGAGAGAGAAACAGCATGAGCAGGGGAGGGTCAGAGAGATAGGGAGTTACAGAATCTGAAGCAGGCTCCAGGCTCTGAGCTAGCCGTCAGCACAGAGCCCGACGTGGGGCTCAAACCCACAAACCATGAGATCATGACCTGAGCCCAAGTCAGACGCTTAACCAACTGAGCCACCCAGGCACCCCAGATGGATGATTCCTTATCATTTACTTCGATTTCCCCCATTTTTAAATTGTGATAAATACACATAAAAGATGATTTACTCTCTTAACCATTTTAAAGTATACAGTTCAGTGGTATTAAATGCATTCATAATATTGCCCAGCCATCACTACTGTTCATCTCCATAATGCTTTTTATCTCCACAACTCTATATCCATTAAATAATATCTTTCCATTCTTCCCTCTCATTCTATTTTCTATCTCTGTGATTTTGACTTCTCTAAGTACCTCACTAATAGAATAGACAGCCTAGAAAGAAATCCTTGCATACGTAGTCATATGATTTTTGACAAGAGTGCCAAGACCATTCAATGGGGGAAAGGACAGTCTTTTCAACAAATGATGCTGGGAAAACTGGATGTCCATGTGCAAGAATGAATTGGACCCTTATTTGGGGCACTTGGGGGCTCATTCGGTTCAGTATCCATCTCTTGACTTCGGCTCAGGTCATGATCTTCTCACAGTCATGAGATTGAGCCCTGCAGTCAGACTCTGTGCTGAGCATGGAGCTTGCTTGGGATTCTCTCTCTTTAGCTCTCTGCCCCTTCTTTCCTCCTTCGTATACTTTCTCTTTCTCTCAAAGTAAATAAACCTAAAAAAAAAAAAGAAAAAAGAATGAATTGGACCCTTATCTAACACCATATACAAAAGTGAACTCAAAATGGATCAAAGACCTGAATGTAACACCTAAAACAATAAAACTCTTGGAGGAAAACATTGGGGAAAAAAACTTAATGACATTGGATTTGACAGTGATTTCTTGGCTGTGACACCAAAGGCATAGGCAACAAAGGAAAAAATAGGCAACTTGGACCTCATGAAAAATTTGTAAAATGGGTGCATCAAAAGCCAGTATCTTTTACTTAGATGCATGGAACTTTTGTTGTTCATTGGCCTGCATCTCAGGCGATCCTTCCACAGACATCCTCCGTCGTTGGTGGCTCTATTTCTTAAGAAAAGAAATTGTAATCTTTCTTTCCTAAACTAGTTATTTTCTTGTAAGGATTTTATATGGCCTCTCTGTTTTCATACTCTATCTGGTCTGGCATACCCTTTTTGTTATCTTGCTGCTTTACCGGTTAACAAGTAAAAAAACTGGCAATGCTCTAAGAAATTGTTGAAGGAATTTTGTTTAGCAATTACAGCATGGTTTATGGTGGTAAAAAAATTGGAGAAACCGAAATATACATTGTGCCAGCTATGAAGATATTGCCCTTCAGCTCCGAGTCCACCGAGTCCACCATTCACAGCTTGCTCTGTTGTAAGAGAGCCGGACCTTGTAAACATTTTTTCCTTGCTAGTGGGCATGATACTAAGTTTTGTCAATAGAGAGCCTTGGGGGGATATTGTAGGAGGAAGAAACTTCTCTTCCTGGTTCCAGTGTGCTTGTGTTCTTTTGCTGTGTGGCTGCCGGTGGCACATAGGGGCTATCCAGTGGTGCTCACCCCTGTTGAGTTTCAATGGCGTCTCTATGGACTGTTTTCCATTGAGTTTCCATGGTACCCCTGACACTGAAACAGTTTGCCACTGAGTTCTACCACCAGCACCCCACACGGTGGCTCCCTGGTGTATTCTGCTGGCAGACCCAGAAGCTAGATTGTCAGCAGTGATCAGTAAATCTCCCAGAACCCCCTCTGGAGACTTCCTGGCCAATTCCACCAGCACCTAGGGTCGTTGTCTAATTGTCGGGTCTGGCCTACAGCCTACTGGATTTCTCTACCACCCGGTTGGTCATGGCCACCCCTTATTCAACAAGTTTTGGATCTCAGCCCTGGAGGTGAGCAACTCTTCCAAGTTTGTTTCTTCCTTGGGTGCTTTGCCTCAGCCCTAGATGTGGTAGCTGCTCCTTAGATATGCTATTTCTGTATTATGTGGAGCTTTCTACCTTTTTCTTAGTTAATAATTCTTTTTATTAAACTTTCTCTGTTGAATTTACTATGTAGTTTCTGTCTCTTGACTTACCTATTCATCATGAGGAGAAAGAGGAAATAAATGTGGAGTATTATGCAGGAATTAAAAAAAGATAAGTTAGACTTCTGCTTCAGCCTAAGGACCAACTGCTACAGGAGTTGCCGTCTCTCCATAAACAAGTAGAAAAGTGCACGAAATCTATGAGACAATTGTTTTCAGATCTTGCTTAAGAAGCTGCACAAGACAGTAAACTTTGAGAGACAAGAAATAAAGGAGATGAGCCTTACAGTTGCCCCAGCCTACTGCCTGGAAGCAGTTTTCAGATTCTAGCACAGTGGGGTTACCTAAACCAAGACTAGTCTTGCTGAGTTGTAAAGAAAGATACCAGGGTACAAAGGAGGCCAGAGTGCCAGAAATTTGCAGGATGGAAAGGAGGAGTTCCACAGAGAGAGAACTCTGGAGATCTCCATAGGGGTCCTTGTAAGTCTTTGGCTGAGTTGGTGCATAGAGAGGCTAAAACTCCATGAGGCAGGGTAAGAACCACCCAGAAACAGCAGCCAAACACTTCTGGGAGCTCTCAAAAGTGCTAGGCATTGTGGACAATTCCACAGCATCGTAGAGAACACTCAGGGGGCATTAGAGGGGTGGTAGCTCATTAGTGGGGATAATTACCCCCGGGGTAAAAGCTGCCCTTTGTCCACCATAACTAAGCTTAAAACAAGTCTCAGAAGAATCAAACTGATCCCAAGCATCCCAGAAGAAGGTCCCACACTACTGAAAAGAAGGAAATGAAGTCCAGCACACGGCCCTGTAAAATTCACCATGTTGAACATGCAACCAAAAGTTACCAGGCATTTAAAGAAGCAGAAAAGTATCCCCCATAATGAAAAGACAAAAACCAACCATCAAAACAACCCCAGAAATGACAGATGATAGATTCGCAGGTGGAGTCCCTAAAATGTTTATTAGCAATCTTATAAAAATCCTCAAGGATATAAAGGGAAACATGAACATGATATGGAGAAACATGAAAACTTTTTAAAAGACACACATTGAAGACATGAAAAATACAGCATCAGATGAAAAATGTACCGTATGGGGTTCACAGAAGATTAAGACACTGTAGGGGAAAAAAAATGAATGAACTTGGAAAAGATAGCAATGGAAACTATCCAACATGAAACACAAAGAGAAACAAAGACTCAAAAATGAACAGAGTACCAGCAAGCCCTGGGACACGTTTGTCCTGGTTACTGATCTCCTAGACACGTACCGGAGGTCACAGAGGGGAAAAGGGAGGCAGAAAAACTATTCGAAGAAGTATTAGCCAAATATTTTTCCAATCTGATGAAGACCATTAAACCCACAGTTCTAAGAAGCTCATTGAACCCCAGATAGAAGAAACTTGTGGAAAATTACATAGTCAGATCGAAGTAAAATTGTTGAAAACTGGTGATAAAGTCTTTTTAACAGGCACTTACCGTGTGATTCAAATACCCCTCCTGGGTATATACCTTTGAGAAACTTATGTTCGCACACAAAAAACTCCACAAATATTTATAACATCTCTATTCATAATAACCCCAAACTGGAAACATTCCAAATGTTCTTTGACAGGTAAATTGATGAACTGCTATGTCCATGTAATGGAATATATGTTCACTCAATAAAACAGGACAAACTACTGCACAACATGGATGAATCTCAAAAGCATTGTGTTCAGTGAAAGAAGCCAGTGAATGAGCTTATAATTCTCTTTACGTGAAGTTCTGGAAAATGCAAAAGCAGATCGATGGTTTCTGAGGGGCAAGGAGTTAAGGGGGAGGAGACCAATTGCAAAAGAATACAGAGAAATTGTTGAGATGGTTGAAATTTTTTCTCTGCTGATTGTGGTGGTAGTTACAAGATTGACATGTTTTTCAAAACTCCTCAACTGCACACTAAAAAGGAGTGTATTTTATCATGTGTGATTTATGCTTCAATAAAGCTTATTATTACAAAAAAAAAGAATGTGGTTAGATTTTTCTTTTTTTTTAATCCATTGACCCAAGAGGCTGTTCATGATGTATTATTGTTAACAGGAGAAAAGCAAGTTGCACGGTAGCATAGGTAATTTGATCACCTTCAATAAAGTAACACTGAACAAAACCCCTCTATATCCCTCTGCATGTGTACTGATGTTTGCAAGCTCATGGAGGATTCTTTGGCAGAAGGGTACACACCAGGCTTGGGTACATTATGGGGATGGGATTTGAGGGGGAAAAAAGAGGGAGGTTGTTAAATTTGTCTTATATATCTTTGGGTGGTTCCATGTTTTACAATGAGCACCTGTTATTTTTGTAATTTTAAACAGTAATGAAAATAAAGAGGATATCAAAGTAATAAATAGGGAGGTGTGTCTGTAGGAAGAATTCTGATGGAGAGAAGGGTCCATTGTGACAGTACAGGGAGGTCAAAGGGATGAAGATGAGGTCATTAGACTGGACAAAAAGATCTTTGGTAACCTCTGAGAGCATCTAAGTAGTGGCGTGGGGGCCAGAAGACAATGTGATATATGGAGGAAAGGGGGAGATTGGGAAGAAAGGCTTTGAGTGTGGGCCACTTGTTTAAAAAGTTTGGTCATAAAAGGAAATTAAGAAACAAGTTAGGAAGGAGCAGTAGCATCAGTTGGAGGCTTTTATGAGAAAAGGACAAGGATACTTGTGGCTTTTTGAAGGCCAAGAGAAGAGAACCAGCAGAGAGTTATTGACCAAAGGTATTGAAGAATGGTATAAAATGGTGGTGACAGAGCCCTTGAGATGATGAGGGCTTTGCAGTGACAGAAATAAGAAATGACTCACTTCCTAGAATGCATTTATTCCATTCCCAGCTGTCATAGACCTAGGAACACACCCTACCCAATCCCTGCCTGTAGTCGAAGGAGCCCAGCTTCCTAATAGGTAGCTGGGCCCTGAGTCCTGGCCTTGATACAGAGCATCAGCGGTGTCCTAGTGCAAGTCACTTGGGCTCTCTCTGCTTAAGTCTTCTGACTAGTAAAATAAAAAAAATTGATAATAATCCTGTTTGCTGTGAGAGAATACATACAAAAAGTTGAGTTTGCTACTCAGCCACCGGTCTGGGGGCAGTATCTCTGACATGTGATGAGTCTGGGCCATGTGACCAATGATGTCACAATGGCCTACTAGACTCCAACTTCTCCACTAGGGTGTTGCGGATCCTTTGAAGCCAAGGACTGGAACGGACATGCAAGACCTCTACCAACTGAGGGTTTTATGAGCACACTCCCTTGCCAAGATCTTGGTGAATAGCCTTTCACTGTGCAATTGTGTCTTAGACATTGTTTTACTTGTTATCATGATCGTGCTTAGCTGGATGCTTTTTGTTGGACTTGCATGTTACATGGGCACATTTCCAGAGTCCATGGTAAGTAATGACCCTGCCTGTGAATCCCTGGTAGTAGGTAGTCAGTCCTGGCTCTGACTCACCCTCCCAGCCAGGGTTTCTGACCAAGTGGGAAAGATAGTTGAGGCCTCATCACTAATTAGAGGTCAGGGTGGAGTGGGAACAAAGTTAGTGTCTCGGGCTACTTCCCAACCCATTGGGATATCCTTAAGTTCCACCCACTCCTTGAGTACATAACATTACTTATTTCAAATTTATAAGGGGTTTGCTGGAGACAGTGGATTTCAAGCAAAGTAGATCAGTGGTCACTGGCTAGAAAGGGAAGGTGGGCATTGGTGGGACCTCCCAACAGCCACAGTCACATACAGAGGCAATTACCTACTAGGCCAACAAGTAGAACCGCTTCTTTAAATTTCTTTCTGACTCAGCCTCCAACTCTGAGGTGGAACGAGAAGTGGCCTATTCAGGACAACAAGACACGCCTGAGGAGCCTGACTTTGGATGAAGAACCACAACTATGAGTGAGTGGTCAGGTCTGCTGGACTCAATTCCTCCCTTTCCAGAGAACGTGACAACCCCTTGAAATCTCAGTGGGGAGTTTATATTCCCCTGGGAAACAATAAACTGCTGAAAGGGAAGTGGTTTGAGATATATGGTGGGGAAAGAGAATTTAGTGGCCACCGCTTTGGACAGCAGGCCAAGGCTCAAAGATTTGTTAAGCGCATTTCATTGCTATTCTTTCCAAAGACTGTTCCCGTCTATTAACTTATTTTCTCACAAATTCTGTAATAAGTTGGGCCAACATTTTTAGCGCCCCTTTTGGCAGATCCCAAGACTTGAGTTCAAGTCCTAACTTTGCAACTCACTAGCTATGTGACCTTGGGAAGGTTTACTGTCTCTAAACCTCAGTTTCTTCATCTGTATAACGGAGATATCTCAGTATCTTACTATTTTTGCAAGAATTCAATCCGGGAATTCATGTAAGGCATTTGATGCAAAGCATTTACTAAATGCCAACTTAACAACTAAGCAAAATAATGACCCAGTCCACAAAGATTTACTGGTGACGATAACCTCAACTATTTACCCAAGGCCATGCAAATCAACCCCTTTGAGAAACTGGGATGCAAGGCTAGTGCTCTGGACTTAATAGCCTCTTGCGCTCATTCCGCTAGATCGGCCTGCCTTTAGGAAACATGAACAGCAGTATCCTGTTAGCAGACATCCCATGGGTTTCTCCTCTCCCACTCCCTTTTACTCAGATCTGTTTTTGTTTTTTTTGTTTTTTTTTAATGTTTTATTTATTTCTAGGAGAGAGAGAGACAGCGTGAGCAGGGGAGGGTCAGAGAGAGAGGGAGTCACAGACTGAAACAGGCTCCAGGCTCCGAGCTGGCAGTCAGCACAGAGCCCGACGCGGGGCTCGAACCCACGAACCGCGAGATCATGACCTAAGTGAAAGTCGGACGCTTAACCGACTAAGCCACCCAGGCGCCCCGATCAGATCTGTTTTTTCAAAAGTGTTCCCATCGTTGAAGAAACTTTACTCTGAGAATCTTAGTAATAAACCAATTACAGGAGCAGGTTTTCTGGGAAGCTACTCTGGAAAGCAGCAGAATTAAGTCCCAACCCCAGGTACACTGAGAGCAGGGTATGAGGGGTTTTTCCACCACCAGTGGCCCCAGAATTTCTATGCAGGTGTTGACCCAGCTCGGTCAGACCATGATTGAGGTGAGGATGTAGACAGAGGCCCTGGGCACTTGCTTAGCTGAGCCACTGCCACCCTGATCCTGACCAAGCCACCGGAAATGTTCTGTGCCTCGGTTCTCCAGCTGTGGAATGAGCAGAACAGCCTATCTTCCTCCTCTTCCCTTTCCAGGGAAGGGAACACTATATGATGAGGGTTTATCTGTGGTGTTTCACAAAATGCAAGATTGTTTTGTGTGTGTGAATAGCCTAACAATAGTATATAAAGTAATTGCTCATCGCATACCTAGCCAATCCTCCAAATTAATCCAGGATATTTTTTGTTTTGTTTTGTTTGTTTGTATAGCATGCTTTTTGCATCTGATTACATGAAAGCAATAGTTATATTTTGACAGGTGATGAATTGACAAAGTTCTGATGCCAGCTGCATCCTAACCATGTAGAGTCACCAGAGAACTGGGCCCCCAAACACTAGGCATCCTGGCCAATTGTCCCATAGTCACTCACTCTGATGGGTCCCTCCAAGGTCACAGGAGCTGATGTCACAATTGGTGTCTGAGCTCTGCCCCCTAAAATGCCCATGGTCAGCCATTTCAGTTCAGACTAGACCACGAAGCTCTTCAGCCAGGAGCTGTCATGCTGGGCGATCCACCCTCCGGTCTGGAATGAAGACAGCCCAGTTCCCAGGACACTAGGAATAGAACACACCTTGCAGAACCACCTGTTTCCCCCAGCACATACCATCAGCTGAGCAGGAAGCCCCACAATGATTGTTGTCTTATGGCTGCTTCTCATTGCAGGAACCATGTGGAAAGGATATAAGTATCCCCCCGGAGGGGTAAGTGTGCTTTTAAACTTTGTTCTCTCTTCCTACTTTGAAATTTATTCCCCCAGATCAATGACCGAAGCATCAAAATCCAACTCTAGTAACTTTAGAAACAAATAGTCTCCTCTTTATTAAGAAAGTGGTTGTAGCTCCCCTACTTCTGTTGTTGCTCACAGAGCATTCCCTGTGTCTTTCATGTCTGTCTTTTATACATATTTTCCTAAGAATCTTTGCTGTTACATTTTTCAGTTTCATATAACCTGGCGGTATAGAGGTAATGACTCAGGCAAAGCTGCCTGACATGAGTGACCTCGTCTTGTGCTCAGGGGCCGTTTCATGGGATCGGTCTTAAGTCCCATTTTTTAAATTAGCCCTGACCAGTTGATTTAAAATCCACACTTAACTCTCCTTCATAAAGTAAAGGGTGGTCTATAAAATGGCTCTGGTGCTAAAAATCTTCTCTCTTCCTGTTAGACCTTGGATATTTGTCCTTCCTCTACCTCTTGTCACCTCCCACATGACTAAGCCCTCCCCGGCAGCTGGGATCAGAGACATTAAGAGACGGAATTGGACAAAACCACCTCTGCCTGTACTCGGCAAGGAAGGCGGTTACCTCCGCCCCACACTCTCACTCTAGCAAACACTAGAGTAAGGCCCGCCTGACATACGTTTTTCCTCCCAGATCCCGGTGGAAGTAAGCAAAGATGATCCTGGTGAAGTCATGCAGCTCTGAAGCTCACCTGACCAGCTGTACAGTTCCTGTTGTTGGTTTCGCATAAAGTAATTGCACCTTATTTTGTCACATTTTATGTAAAAAGTTACTGTACTTTTTAAGGGGAAGAGCTGGTATTCCGTTAGCTCAAAATAGGGAGATGGGGGGGGGCGGTAGTTGGGTTAGACGAATATGATTGGGTCCCCTCTGTTTCAGTCTCTAAGACTGACATTAAGACTAAGATACCTAGTTCAGTTTGCCCCCTAATTCTGTACCCTTAAGGATAGAAATTCTCTAAAGCTCCTTAGACCTAGTTCCCAGGTATAGTCTTTCCCCCATGTCCAGGTTCCAGGGTCCAAAATACGTTACAGAAAAGGCTAGAGATTGCAGCAGCTTTAAACCAAAAGTATCTTTTGGGGATACTTCTCTGTGGCCTTTTCATAGCTGTTATCAAGAACTGAAGGCTTACACTGTGTGGGGAAGGAACGTCATTTCAATATGGGGTGCTAGATGCTAAATTAAACATTATTTTAATTGTTATAATAAGCTTCTGAATTGGGCACGAGCTCCATTTAACAAACTGGCACAAATGAAGTTGAAAGGCTCAAGTATCTTGCCAACTGCACAGCTCTGGGTTGGAGTCAGGATCAAGACCCAGGCCTTCTCCTTGACATGCCTTCACGTGCCAAGGAAAAGAGCCAAACCTAAAACTGGACTATCCAAGATCTTGGCTATCTCTTGGCTCAAGTGCCCCCTTCACCTGAATAGCCAAGAAGGTGCCTGATACTTCTTTTAGCAGTAACCGCTCATACAGGACAGCGTGCATAGAAACAAAAGCCCAGTGCTCAGTTCTCAACATGATGCAGTTTGAGACCGAGTATGGAAGCCTAAGTGTAAGACCCATGCAATTAATCTGGGTATTTCAGCCCTAGGATATTCCTCATAAGCCTCTCTAGAGGTGGTTTGGAATTTTCTGATCTTAAGAGGGGGGAGTGTGTGTGCTGGGGGGTGAAGAGCCCAACAAGAGCAAGTGCTTTTAAAATAAACTGTATGGAACTTTTCCCATTCTGCGGCTGCTTGGGGATGACCCATAATTCCATCATTCAGATGTGCATCCCTACCACCAAAGTACATCTTTTTAGTTATGTAGGTTAACATTTTGTTGACTATTTAGCACACATTTGCTAAACTATTTTTAAGTGGCCCTGTGCACTGAATGGATTGCCTTTTTATTTTTTATGGAAAGAACAGTGAATTCAGAATCCATAAGCAACACTGTATAATCCTGAATCTAGGATACTATCTCTTAAAAAAAATTGTTTTAATGTTTCATTTATTTTTGAGAGAAAGAGAGAGAGAGTGCAAGCAGGTGAGGGGCAGAGAGAGAGGGAGACACAAAATCTGAAGCAGGTTCCGAGCAGTCAGCACAGAGCCTGATGCAGGGCTTGAACTCAGAAAGCTGTGAGATCATGACCTGAGCCGGAGTCAGACACTTAACTGACGGAGCCACCCAGGCGCCCCTAGGATACTATCTCTTATAATACTTCTTATATGACCTAGACTCAACATATCCCATCGAGCTAAGTGCCTACATGTTCTGGCTCCATGGCTATACCCAGTTGCCTCCTGTATATCCCAAAGGACTCATCTTCTGTTATTTCAGGCTCTTTTTATTATAGGGGATCAGAACCTGCTCATTTTCTTGAAAAGAGGAACTATATACCCAGGCCTTCTTCCCTCTGGTTCCCTGAATATGCCTCCAAACAGTTCTCAAACCTTCAGAATAGCTCTCTTAAGCTGGTGGGGGGTGGGGAGATGTGTCCGTTGTGGGAGTTGAGCAGAGGTCAGTGTGTCAGGGAGAATGAACAGAGGTGTGTGTGTGTGTGTGTGTGTGTGTGTAAGGAGGCAAACCCCATCTCAAGTCTGAGAAGTCTATTGGGGTTTCTAACTAGAAAAATGGTTCAGGGCGATGAAAGAAGGAATATCTGAGTTTAGGTAAATAAATGCAAACCAGTGAAAATATCAATAAAATATTTTTAATGCCTACAATTTCTTTTATACATAAATTGCAAAACTTTCACCTGTATATGCAAAAGTAGATTCTCTTGCAGGTCAACAGCACCAGAAAACAAGCTAAACTATGTAAATGTTGTTTTTTTAAAACTTGATTTGTCCATTATGTAAAAGACATGATGGATTTAATAACTTCAAAGAAATCTATATCCCACTCTTAATCATACACTAAACACCTGAATATTTATTTTATCACATCCACTCACAAAATAAATAGTAGTCTAATATATTCGGCACATTGAAAATAAACCAACCGGTTTCTCTTCATATATTTATTCTCTTTCCAAACGTGTTTTGGTCTCCTGCTATATCTCAGAAAGGTACTAATAGCTGCTTTTAAGTTACAAAATACAAAACAGTAATTTCTTGGAGAAAATCTTGGGGTAACATTAAAAAAATGAAATTTCGAGTTCCCGTAGACTTTCTTTTTTGTTAACAGTCTTTGAACCTTCTCGTGGCACACATGTAAGGCTGTCTGTGACATGTGGTACCCTGGCCTCCAAATGGACATAATTGCATTTATAGTTTAGAGAAAATACAAAGACCAGTTTTGAAAGTAGCCTTTAAAGAAAAGAGCCCCTTGCTTTGCCACAACAACATCAAAAGCAAGCGGGACTGTGCAATCAGAGCCATAGGAGTTTTATGAAAACTACTTTCCTCTCACATCATCTGTTAGAGAATGCCACACCCATGATCATGTAACATTACAATCGTGAAATAACATCACTACATTCGTGAATTAACATTACCCAATAAAAGGCACATCTTCAGATATTGAATTAATAAAATCTGAAAATCAAAAACAGTAGAGGATACATTAAAAACCAAGCACTTAATTTGTAAACCTTGATAAAAATAACAGCTTATTCCAGTTTCTTCAAAGGTTTGTGAGCTTTTTGTAAGAGCAGTCAGGAACTGCAGAACAAAATGGAAGACAGGATTTGGAAAACAAGGCCAAGATTAATTTAAAAGACTTTCTCAGGACTTTGTTTTTAAATGAGCTACAGAAGTGCCCTTTTATAATGTTGATGCTGAGGCATAATATAAAATCAACATCTGTAGAAGAAATGCACTCAAAAGTGATAGATGCCTAAGGACACGACCTGACTCTTCTATCAAGTTCTAGAACTTTTATCGAGCAGTGGTGCCTTTCTGTACAAATAACTGCACGTTGAGTAAAGTGCTAGTAAACATTAAGCCACCAGAAGTCTTTCAGCTATGATAAGCACTTGATTGTAATAGATTTTCAGAGAGTCTAAATATTGAAAAAATATATCCAAGAAAACAACTTTTGTAGGGGTGGGGCAGGGGGAAGCACAAAAGTGACAGCAAAGGAAATAATGTTCCCAATGGTTTTATGACATGGAACACCACACTACCTTGAAATCAATTTCACCGAAGGTATTCTGAGATGGGTGAGAGGCAGTCCACAGGATTTTCTGCCAGTTTAACAGTTCTTTGTAGATCATTAGGAAGGGTGTTACTCCTAGCGATGAAGACCTCTTCTAGAGGATTCAGCTTCAAAGTTAAATCCTTGCATTTTTGAAATTTGAACCTCAATTCAAAAGGAGTCAGAGTCTTAGGGGACTAGGTCAGATGGCTGTCCCAGCAAGGGAGGCTAACAACAGTAATGTATACCACCCAAGCTTGGAGAAGAAAGAAAGCTTTATGGGTAAAAAGAAATACACACAAAAAACTTTTGGAACTGGTCTTCCAGCTTATGTCCCACCGTCCCCAACACTCCATATGTGGAATCCGGGACAAGTGCTCTCTGGCACCATCATATCTCATTTTTCTGTTGCTGACTTTCCCTGGAGACCTGGCTTCTCTCCAGCCAGAACCTAGGTCAGCCTGATTGGAACGGCCTGGATCTGAGGCTTAAGAGATAAGAAGTCTACAGATAGGACTTGGAAAAAAGTGAGAATGAAGAAAGTTCCACAGCCCAGTAAAGCACCAGTAGCAGGGAACGTCTTTTTCTACCTGGGAAAACAATCTCTTCACAGTGCATAGTTTGAAATGAAAGTGCAATGTGGGCAAAAAGAGAAGGTGGTGCTTTCAATATACATGAATTTAGTTTTTGGTTTTTGGCATTAATTGCTAAAGAATTTAAGATAAAATGCAGTCATTAACATCAAGAGGTACAGGGGCACCTTTTTCCAAAATATCTTTTATAGAGAGGGAGGAGGGGAGTCTCACATGTCACTTCCTTATTTTTTAAATTATTACTCTTCCAAATCTAGTGTTTGAATAAAATAAGTATTTTTCTTCTTCGATATAAAAATGACTTTTTTTTAGATAAAAATCAATTGGCACAGTGACCTTGTCTATTTTATGCTAAAGCCAACGTAACAGTAAATTTGAAAGGAAACCTTGGAAACAGGTATTTTTAAACTAAATGGCGTGACTTGTATTTTAACTGGGAAAAAAACTTTTGTTAATTGCCTTATCACCTAAATTAGTGAATAAGAATGCTCGGCATCCAATCCATGAATAATGCAAAATACAATATAATTTATTCTACTTTTTACTTCAAAGTCACAGAGATGACATCCATATGATAATTATAAAGCCTACTCTACATCTTCAAGTTCTCAATCCAAACATATACATTAGGACAGGTCACTTTATTGCTGGCAACATTCATGGAAGGGCCAGGTTCCTCAATAAAAGACAAAGTTTGATTGGGAGCCGGGCAGTGCCCTACTCACACATCAGCAGAACATGAAGTCAAGGGGCAATCCTTTTTTTTTTTTTTCCTTTTCAAAGTGGCAAATATACGATTGGCTGACAGATGAGCGGCCCCCTATGAGAGTGCATAGCTCGTCAGGGTCAAGGCTGGCACCTGTGAACAGTTACTTCAACAAGAGCACTCGCTGGGCATGCTACCATCTGTATTAGGTTTAACCCTGGAAAGGATCTGGAACTACTTTATGCTCCAACGACAGCCTGCAAATAACAGTATGCATTCCTTCTCCTTGAGTACCCAAGTATAAATTAAAATCATAAAGGGGCTTCTTCATTCTGAAGGCAGGACCTTGCAGCAGAGTGTCTCCAGAATTTCACAAAAATAATAAAAGCAGCAGCTAACGCTTTTTCAGCTTCTTGGCCTTTCGACGCTTCATTTCTTCTTCTTCACGTCTCATTTCCTCTAAGTCCTCTTGCATACCTAGTCTTAAACTGTCAAAAAAAAAAAAAAAAGTGTCAACATACACGACGTTACCACTCTCTTTAAAAATTAAGAATGAAATTTCAACTGGGGATTCGTATGGAATGTGCTGAGGCATTAAAAACGCCTCAAGGCTTTACCCCTGGAAACAAACTATCAGGAATTATTTTTCACTAGGAGCCTCTGCCACTGACTCAACTTCTAGTAGAAGACCTCACGTAAAACCTCAACACAAAATACCTTAACATTCCCATTAAAGTAATAAACTGTAAATTGTTTATCACAATGGCTTTTAAAAATAAAATTTATTCAATAAATAACATTCTATTCTTATCCCTTCCCATCACTTTAGTTTGGTATTTTATGTAGTTATAGGAAGGGAAGGCAAGAGGAAAAAAGGTTTAATATTCTGAGTTGAGACCGAAGTGAATTATTTTACCAAGTGAACACTATAAACAAAGTAATCACTCGCTATCCCACCCCAGGAACTTATCATTAGTTTTATTATCAGGAGTCAAACAGGAATTGGACAGAAAGAATTTCATATTCCTCATCAGGGCCCTAAGGCCAGCAGTGGTACAGGTTGGCAAGACTGAGAGGTGTCTGATGTAGAAAGGGAATTAAAGATGGGGAAAGAAAAACAAGGAACACATTACACATTACAAGGGATCAGAGGAGGCCTCAACACTGATTGTGTGCCTCTAATGGTGCGGCACTGTGCTAAGCAACTTGTACATGTTATCTAATACCTCAGTGGGTAAAAAGAGTAAATTCTCATTTTACCCATGAGAAGACCAATTTGAAAAAAAAATCTTTAACTTATTTTAAAGCGCGAGAGAGCAAGGGAAGGCAGAGAACGAGGAGACCGAGAATCCCAGGCAGGCTCCACACTGCCAGCACAGAGCTTGACGCAGGCCTCAAACCCAAGAACCATGAGACCATGACCTGAGCCGAAATCAAGAGTCGGATACTTAAGTGACAGAGCCACCCAGGTGCCCCAAGAAGATAGATTTAGAAAGGCTAAGGAGTTTGTCTAAAGCCCCACAGCAAGTAAGCAGGATTGGAATTCAGAACCAAGGGGCCCAAAGCCCCCATTCCCGATGGTGTAACTGAAGCAGCAAACGGAACGGAATGATTAGGACATTTCTGCACAAATGTGTTAAGTTTTGTGCTTACCTCTTTGCTTCTTCCTTCTGCTGCTCTTTCCAACTACTCTCCATATAACGTAAGGCATAATCACTTTCATCTTTGTATCTGATAAGAGGAAATCAACGTTGTTAGCGGAAAAAAACCCAAATTCCCAAATATTTAGGAACTGCATCCTCCTGTCTTAAAAATCAGTATCTTTATAACTAATAAAAAACACAGTTAAGGATTAACCTTCTTTGTTTGGTAAGGAGTGACAGAGGCAGAGGATGGGTAGAGATGGGTTTCTAAAGTCAAGACAAATTAAATGAGCCCTTACTACTCCCCGAAGGCAATTACTCCTCAATCTAACGTCAATGAAGGTACCCAATCCAATAATGCTTACTCACCGCACTCACCTCTAGTTACAGAATAGTTTATATTAAAATTCTGAGAGGACACTATATATGGAAATTATTTTGTACATATTAATATCATTTGAGCTTTATGAGAAAGGAAAGGGCTTTACAACAGACTGAAGCAAGCAGATTAGTGGCTTGACCAAGAACATGTAACTAGCTAACAACATTACTAATTAGTTTTTATTTAAGAAAAAAAATTTTTAATGTTTATTTTTGAAGCAGAAAGTGAGTGAGGGAGGGGCAGAAAGAGAGGAGAGACAGAATCCGAAGGAGGCTCCAGGCTCTGAGCTGTCAGCAGAACCCAACACGGGGCTCAAACTCACAGACTGGGAGATCATGGTCTAAGCCAACCGACTGAGCCATCCAGGCGCCCCATTACTATTAGATTTTAAAATCTGATTTTTATTCCAATTCTTTTTACTACTAAGTATCTTTTTTTAATGTTTTGTTTTCTGAGAGAGAGACAGTGTGAGCAGGGGAGGGTCAGAGAGAGAGGGAGACACAATCTGAAACAGGCTCCAGGCTCTGAGCTGGCTGTCAGCACAGAGCCCGATGCAGGGCTCAAACCCATGAACCGTGAGGTCATGACCTGAGCCGAAGTCAGATGCTTAACTGACTGAGCCACCCAGGCGCCCCTAATACTATATTTTTAAAATAACACTTTTTCTCAGGATTAGAATTAGAGAAGCTCCATGGCTTCAAAGGAGCAGGCAATTGTTAACTGATATGCACTATAATACATCCCTTATGTTTTAAATATATACTACCCCACCTAATCCTTTCATATGTCATTCTAAAAATAATTTATTCAAGTTTATCCAGCTAGTAAGTGGTAGAACTTTCATTCAGACCCTGATCTTTCATCTATATTAGTGTTCTCAAACTTTAATGTGCATTTGAATTACCTGGGAACCTTATAAAGCTGATTTAGATTTGGTAGCTGTTTTTTTTTTTTAATCTTTATTTACTTTTGAGAGAAAGAATGCGAGTGGGGGAAGAGCAGAGAGAGACAGACACACAGAATCCAAAGCAGGGTCCAGGCTCTAAACTGTCAGCACAGAGCCCGACGTGGGACTCGAACTCACAGACCATGAGATCATTACCTGAGCCAAAGTCATATGCTTAACTGACTGAGCCACCCAGGCGTCCCATATTTGGTAGCTCTGAAGTGGGACCTGAAAGCCTACCGTTCTTAACGCTGTTGTCAGGTGATGTCAATGATGTTGGTCCCATGCTGACTGCTATCCAAGGACCATACTTTTGAGCAGTAAAGCTTTTTACATCAAAGAAAAGCCGATGTCGGATCAGACCAGCTTTCAACATAGGCCTGTGGATGGCTTTCTGAGTTCAAAGCCAATCTAGTTCTATTACACTAAGCTGCTTCACTCTCATTAAATATACATCTTATAAGGACAACAGTTTAAAAAGGTATTTTTTGGCATGCAACTACACAAAAAATTGAGTTAATTGTTAAGTGCTAAAAGAGTAAATCTAAACAATCATCCAATGATTCCTAATTAAGAATTTTATTTATTGCCTCTACTATTAATGTTTGTTTTTCCCCCATAGCATGAGTCATTCAAAATAAGTATATCATTTATCTAAATCATCTATAGTCTTACTTTTTTCGGTCATAGCCAAAGATTTCTCGAATGTGCTTTGAGATTTCTTCCTGAGGTTCTCCTTCATCTTCGATAAAATCTTCCATTTCAGAGTCATATTCATCATCATCTTCCTCCTCTTCATATTCTCGCTGCCTTTTGTAACCACTAGGGAAGGGAAGCCTTTGAGAAACTAAGAATAGAAAAGTCATTATTTATAAGAGCATTAAAACTGAAAATAGTCCCAACAAAGTTTTACATAAACTGAGATTTTTAAGAACTCATTAAGAAAGTACCCTCAAAACCAGCAAACTGGACCACAGCATGGAGTCACTGCTAAATCATCCCTGCTGCTTCACGCTGTCTACAAGGAATAGAATTTTTATTTATCCTAGGGCTTACTAGACGCATCTGTCACACTTCCTCCTGGATTTAAAAGACTAGCAAAATTAAAAAGAAAAAATTACAGATAGCTTCCAGGATCACTAACTTTTTTTTTTTTTTACAAATAGTTTATTGTCAAATTAGTTTCCACATAACACCCAGTGCTCATCCCCACAAGTGCCCTCCTCTGTGCCCACCCCCTCCCCCCCCCACATCCATCAGTCCTCAGTTTTTGTCAGCATTCAAGAGTCTCTCATGGTTTGCCTCTCTCCCTTTCCCCCACCATTTCTCCCCCCCTTCTCCCCCTTGTTCCTCAGTTAAGTTCCTCCTAATCCTCCTACACGTGCAAACATATGATATTTGTCCTTCTCTGCCTGACTTATTTCGCTCAGCATAACACCCTCAAGGTCCATCCATGTTGCTACACATGGCCAGATTTCATTGTTTCTCATTGCCATGTAGTATTCCATGGTATAGATAAACCACACCTTCTTGAGGATCACTAACTTTTAACTCTGCCAAGAAAAGACACAGAAGTGTAACAACCTACCATCTATTGCCACCATAATTCCGTTACATTTTTTAAAGTCCAACAGAATAGGAAAGATTCCCAGAATTATGGATAATTGCTCCAATGAGTAAGTCTGACTTTAAAAGAAAATCACTACATTATCCCTTATTTTGTCATTTTGCCAAAAGACTGATTAAAACTTTGCAAAAGACAGGCAGTGATCAATAGAGCAGCACCTGGGAACAACTGCTTTCTAGTCCTTGATGATAGACACTCCTTTTGTTGATCTACAGTGTTGTTAGTATGTGTGGCTTGTCTCTTTAGCTCAGGGTTTCTTTCTCAACTGCTGACATTTGGGACCAGATAATTCTTTGTTGTGAGCAGACTCTCCTGTGTACTATAGGATAACAGCAGCATCCCTGGCCTCTATCTACTAGATTACCTGGGCCCAGTGGTGTCAGTCAAAAATGTCTCCAGACACTGCCAACTGTTCACTGGGCATCAAAATCATCCTTGGTTGAGAACCAATATTCTAGTTGAACTAGGAAGTTAAAGCATGGAATCTTACCTCAGTAAATTCCTAAAGGACCAGTAGAGCTAAGGCCTTGACCCTGCCCACTCTAAGGAGCAGAAACACAAGGGCAGTTTCTGGTACATTGTAGGTACTTAAAAAGTATCTGATGAGTAAACAATGCACCAAAGGCTTCAAACTTACAAATACACTCCAACTTTTGAAGAAAGGTCTCTCTAGTCCTCATGAAAAGGTAAAGATGAATTAATTCATTGAACCATATAAGGCATATACACTCATCCTGTCTCACAGATCACATAGCCAAGCTTAATGCACTTGGAGACATTACAGGGGTGAACACAGAAGGTCCTAGATAACGCTCTTTCTAAAGCCTTTCCCAAGTTATGACCACTAAAGGGACTCTCGCACAAAGAGAGGCAAAGCATCAAGATTCTATCAATACAGGAGTACATTAAAGGCCACATGGAAGGGTTCACAGGGTCTCTGGTTATGTAAAAGAAAGTTTTACCTTGGGCAGATCTGTAGCCAGATAAGGCAGGCCTCATTCCATTCATCTGTCCATTGCTGGATCGGCTAATTATGTTCTTGGAAGAAATTGTTTCTGAGACAACAGTACACTTGGGTTTTAGGGGGAGACCGGAGCTACTAACTGTTCGCCCAGGTCCCAGGCTGCTCACTGGTCTTCCAGGGCCTGAATTACTGACAGTCCGTCCAGCTGGCACTGAGCCACTTCCTGATCGCCCAGGGCCACCGACTGGCCGCCCAGGGCCACTGACTGGCCGCCCAGGGAGGCCAGAGCCACTGACTGCTCGTCGGAGGTCATGTGGACTGCTCACAGGCCGTCCAGGGCCACCAGAGCTGCCCAGAGACCTCCTAGAATCACCTGAGCCACTGGTGGGTCGCCCAGGGCCACTTGAGCTGTTCGCAGGATGCCCAGGGCCACTCGTACCACTGAGTGTCCGTCCAGAGAGCTTTAAGTCACCGGCTGGCCTCTTGGTCCCACTGAATGATCGCTCAGGTCCTGAGCTGGAGCTGCCATTCTGGCGCCTGGGCACGGGGCCAGAACTAACTGTGGGCCGAGCGGTCCCTGTGCTGGGCCGCCCGGGAGCTGAGCTGGAGCTGCTGCCTGGCTGCCTGAAGACACCTGGACTTTTAACTTTATTGTGTGGGGTGACCACAGGCCCAGGCCTGGAATGGCTAGGATGGGGAGGAGATTTTTTGGCTTTGTGCTCAGTAGCAGATTTCTGAGGCCCTTTAGCAGAAGTCTTTGGGACACTTGGTGAATAGGTGCTGGAGTGGGGCTTTCCGGCCCCATTGAAAACAGGTCTGTCATGGCCCTCACGAAGTAAGGGCTGGGAGCAATTGCCAGATCCCACCTTGGTCCTCTCTCCTGGCATGGATTTGGATGAAGACACACTTAAGTGTTTTTCATTGGCTGTACTGGGTCTAGATTTCTTCTCAGCATGAGGAAGGGGTGTACCCCTGGAAGAAGGGTGCTTGCTAAGTTTTGTGCCCACGCTTTCTTTCTGAGAGGGTGCCTTTTTGGCTGGAGGTAGTCTTGCGTCTGTCTCAGCTCTCTTTTTCCTCTGTTTCCGTTCAAGAAATTCTCGCTCCCTAAGTTCTTCTGCAGTCATAGGCCGCTCTTCTGTTTTCTTCACTACCTTGATCTCCACTGGTTCATACTGCTTTTTCTCAGCCAGCCTGAGTAGATCAGTGAAGTTCATGAGTGGTGGGGCACTTTTAAGGGGGACCTTTGGTTTGGTTTCAACTTTGGGAGGTTCTTGCTCCTCCTCATACTCTTGCTCTGACTCTGCTTGATTGTACTCTAAGAATTCATCTTCTTCTTCCATCTCATACTCTTGTTCTGCTCCCTGGCTAGTGTGGCTTTCCATCGCCTGCCTCTTCTTTGACTTTTCCTCAACGGGAATCCCGTTGTAACCATGGAAATTATCCTTTGTCCTCTTGGCCATAGCTCTTGCCTTTTTGTCATGTTTTAGCTCAATTCGCTTTTTCACTAGTTCTTCTTTTCTCCTTTTCTCCTCTAAAGCTAAAATAGAGAAAATAAGAAAGTACTTCAGGGTCTGGAGGTCTCAAGTATGTTCATCTGAAATCAGTAGGTGGCCAAAACACAGGCAACATTCAAGTTACAGCTCGAAGACATCTAGGAATCAAAGGAGGAAGTCCTTTGAACAAGTATCAGTTGAGTCATCTTTACGTAATGAGTGGGTCACATATGGGTTTTTCAATATGACAAAGCAAGTGAGAGACTAGGGTGTTAGCTTTAAATATAGAAAATAATTCATACCAAATAAATCTACCAAGTGAAAGAAACAGTAGGACCCACTTTGACAGTCATTATTAACTATGAATACTTAAACATACTACATCAGCTTCCGTGTCATTTGCATGAGGTAAAACTACTGTTTGAGTTTGCTGGTCTTCAAAAATTGTCCCTATTTTAACTTTTAAGATAGCATTCTGGATAATAATTTAAAAAATTAAAATACAAAATATGTAGAAGCAGGTTCAGAATGAAGGTCAAAGAATGGAGTTCTTATTGGGACCTAGTGTGGCCAAGTGCAAGATATGGTCACCATCCCCAAAAGCACTAAAAGGAAAGAAAAGATAACATCCATACAAATGATCAGCATGAGAACATATGTAATGCTCTAAATTCAGCTGACTCAAACCATAAAGCCATTAGCCTATTCTGTTATTACAAGCCTCCACGAGTTAAGTACAAGCTAGTTGTGAAGGTGGGAGACTTTAAAATTGAGAATAAGGCTATAGATACATACCTTTTTGCCTGAGTTCCTCCTCTTTTCTTCTGAGAAAAGCCTGAACAGCTGCAGATTGGACACCCTTAACTTTTGGGTCTTTTTTGGGAGGCCCCACTGCCAAACTGTACCTTTTCTAAAAATAAAAAAAGTTCAAGTTAAAAGCAATCCAACTTTAAAAATTTATTGCTGTTAGGTGTGAGGCACTGTACCAAGCAACAGAGAGGTTTAAATATTGACTGAAAACGGATTCTGAATAATTAAGAGATCATATAACTAACATGGAAGCTTGGCTATAAAATTTTAGTCTAAATACGATTATGCATGACTGCTTTTAGGTACAGAATTTCTCTGTAACATCCTAAATAATGCATAAGTGAAGAATTCAGAGAAATTCTATTTTGGGGTTATTTTCCCAAATAGGTACTTTGATTGGGGGACTTTAAAAAAGAAATCATCACTTAAAATGGACTGTTTCAAAATTCTGAATTAAAAAAAAAAAAATCAACCTTTAGAACTAAGCATTTCAAACAGAAAAAAATACTCATGAATGTTTTCTCTCCTGAGTACCTTATTCCAGACCATTTTCTAGTAAGACTCACAGCTACACAGGTTATTTTGCTTACAACATAAAACACTGAGATATTACTTTGACCATTAGCAAAGCTGGTGGCAAACCAAAGCTTAAAAAGCATTTCAAAGACATCTAAGCGGCAAGAAATGCCCAATTCTCTCTGTACCTTTAGCCATAGCTCTTATGTTAAGTATTAATTTGTTACATAAACTGTTTTAGAAAGGTTTCCTTATCACCCCAAAAGTACTAATATTATCCTGGCACAGATGGTATTTCTCTGGGGTTTGATTTTTATGTTAACTACACTGGGAAATGACTAAAACCATAGTAATGCTAATTTGAACTACGACAGGAAAAACATTTCCATTGTATAAGTATCTATCATTAGAGAGGTATGACAAACAACAACTCAGACCAGGTTGATTCATCTCTAGGACCACTGCACGTTATATACATGGATAGCAAGTAAGTTTTTAAATGTTCTCCCTCTTTTGTTAGGCAGATGACATCCTCATCCACTGGACCTGTTGTGCTAGTTAAAAAGGGAACACCAGCCTCTGAGCACAAATCCAGCTACTTAACCCCCGCCCCCCCCAAAAGGATTCCCCAAATGCAATTCCTGGAGGAGAGCCAAAGGATCCATGCTTACTATGTATGTGGCTAGCAAATACAAGACATCCTGAAACAGGCTGGAAGTTCCAGCTAAGTTAGTGCACAGGCCCTAATCCAGCTTGAAAACCGCACACCGTAGCAATGCCAGGACCTGACACGTCCCTGACAGAAATCCTACAGAGGGCACCCAGACAGACACCTTTCCCAGTCAGCCTGGCTGAATTCACCATAAAATGCACGAATAAGTCCCTATCTTTGTAAATTTAGTTATAGACCCTTTCCATTGTAGATGGGGGCCCAATATTTAAAGGAAAAGAGAGGGGAGAGAATACTGCTTTACCTAACTACCTATATAAAACTGTCCTCGTTTATAAGAACCTCAAATGTAAGCTTTATCCACAAAAAGTTTATATAAGATCTATCTCCACAGACTCATAAGCAGAGACATCCACTCACTTCACCCAATCCAGTTAGATCTGTAAGGGGAAATGATGGATTTTTTTTTTTTTTTTTTTTTTGCCAAGACAAGATTTTCGTGTCCCTGCCCACAACCTAGTCCATATGTTCGCCTGCCAAATCAAAGCTTATACAAAGTGCCCCCCCTTTACCGCCAATATACATGTTAGTGTTACCTTGATCAGCACTGGTTTGTTACCTAGATATTACAGCAATGAGCACTTCTTGATTTGATTTCAGGATAGACATCTTCCTATCCTGGGACTTCAAGAGATAGGTAATGAGATAGGACTAGCTGAAAAGCTACTTACGACTGAATACAAGCAGCCAAAAGGACAACAACAGCATCAATGGGGTACAGTTTACTGAGCTTCAGTCGTCTGCAGAACATCTGCATGATTTTTGCCCCTTTAGTATACCATCTGCATTATTATTTACTAATTTTAAGAAAATATATAGACCTAACACCATGACTTATAACTTTACTTCAAGCAATAATATCCATGAAATGATGGACTTGAGGACTAGTTACATTTTTGCAAATCATATCAAAATATAACCATTTATGTATATACATACATATATATACATATAAAACTATGAGAAAAAAAGATTTTTGTATCACCTAAGATCATGGTACAGCCAGAGCTAGATCCACTGCACTTTGGGAAATACCAAAAAGGAACATAAAAATATAGGAAAGGCAGAACACAAAGAAGAAACAAGGGAACAGGGTGGTCAGGCTCTCAGATTCACTCAGAAAAGAAGTGCAAAGATTACTTTCTGCTTTTTTCCAAGTATCCACCTATTTCCATCGGTTCACATTGCCAATTTTAAACTCACCTTTTTTGTTTTAGCAGCTTTAATACTCAAGGGTATTTATCAAGTTGACTTTATCTTTAACCCAACAACTCTGTAGCACTTTTTGTCCTGTCCTATGATGTAGAAGGGATTCAATAAATCTATTACAAGTCTCATTTCATGGGTCTGCTAGGAAACAAGAGGGACAAGGTCCTAACTTGATGAGGCTTAATCTTATTCACTGACATGAGCTGAGTCATAATTAACAGTTTCTTACGTCTGCTGTAGCTTGATGTACTCAAAAGCAGATACCAGGAAAATATTAAAATATTCTCTTGGGCAAAGTTTAGGTCAAAACCTAGAAATCTGGTACTAAATAAAAGGGGAGGGGGTGTCTATATCTCCACAGATAATTTTCTTCTTTCTTAACAGTTTTATTGAGATATAATTCACATCCCATGAAATTCAAGCTTTAAAAAAAATTTTTTTTTTAATTTTAGAGAGAGTGAGTGAGCAGGGGAGAGGGGCAGAGGAGGTGGGTGGGAGGGAGAGGAGGAGAGAGGGGGAGAGAGGAGGAGAGGAAGGAGGAGAGAGGGGAGGGGGAGGGGGAGGGGGAGAGAGAATGAGAATGAATATCTTAAGCAGGCTTCTTGCTCCATCAGCCTGGAGCCCAATGTAACTGGATTCCATGACCTTGGGATCATGATCTGAGCTGAAACCAAGAGTCAGATGCTTAACTGACCAAATCACCCAGGCACCTAAAATCCACCCATTTAATGTGTACAATTCATTGGTTTTTAGTATATCCGGAGTTGTACAACCATCACCACTACTGGAGTCTAGAACATTTACATTATCCCCTAAAGAAATCTCTTACCCTTTAGCAGTCACTCCCCATTCCCTCTCTCCCCTCTGCCCCTGGCAACCACGAACCTACTTTCTGTTTCTGTGGATTTGCCAATTCTGGACATTTCATATAAATGGAATCATGTACCCAGTGTACCATTATACAACAATATTTATCTCAATATAAGGTAAAATTTACAGGCCATAGACAAATGGTTATATATGAGTGATTATACAAAGTATTAGGATTTTTCAATTTTGAAAATCCTTATTGTTAATTTTCACTTGACTCTATTATTAAGTTTGAAAACAGGCCTTTCAAAGGCCTAGAAAATATCTTTGAGAGAATGCTCTGTAAGTTAGTTCCTTACATCCCTGAACTGAAAAATTCTAATTATTTCCCTAGCTTATGGGAAATTAAAAGAACAATTAGTTCCTATGACCATTAAATGTTTCAGTTTCGGCACAGGTATCATCCTCATTCTTTTGAAGTAAAAACAGAATATACCTAGAACTTTACAATGACAATTATGTAATACCTAAGTCAATTTAAATGGTGATAATGTAATTTTACTCTGATGTCAGTGCTGACTTTTCTACCTTTTTTTTTTTTTTTTTTGCTCAAATAAAAACTTTGAAAGAAAAAATGAAATCCTACAATATGTGGCTGCCATGGTCAGTTTTGTGTGTCAGCGCCGCTAGGCTATAGCACTCAGTTATTTAAGCAAACACTAATCTAGTGTTGCTGTGAAGATATTTTGCAAGTGTGGTTAACATCTACAATCAGCTAACTTTAGGTAAAGCAGATTACCCTCCATAATGCGGATGGTATTCATCTAATCAGTTGAAGGCCATAGGAGCAAAACCTGAGTTTTCTCAGAGAAGAAGGTATTGGCCCTACAAATTTCAGACTTGCCAGCCCCCACAATTAGATGAAGCGATTTCCTAAAATAAATCCTATTGGTTCGGCTTCTCTGGAGAGCCTTGGCTGCTACTGTGGCCTTCTGTATCTTGGTACTTTCCCTTAGTACAATGTTCTCAAGGTTCACGTTGTAACATGTGTCAGTACTTCATTTCTTTTTATGGCTGAATATTTCATTGTGCTGATTTACGACATTTTATCTACTCATCAGTTGATGGGTATCGGTTTTACTTTTTGGCTATTATGAATAATGCTGCCGTGGACCCTTGTGTTCAAGTTTTTTGTGTGAGCATCATTTCTCTTGGATCTAGGGCTGTAGATATTCCTAAAAGGAAGCTAGCCAGACCTTTTAAAAAGGGGTTGTAGTCAGTCTCTGTTCATCAAAAGATCTGAGATCTGTTGTAACAGAATATTTTATTAGCTAATCCCCTACGCCCACAGGGCTAGCCCAGTAGAGAACCATGTTTAAAAACATAAAAATAAAAAGCCTCAGGCTGGGATTACATTATATTTTATTTAATAAAGCAGAAGAAGTATTTGGCACTTTCTCCTGCATCAGATGGTCACATTTAACTCTAGCAGCAGCACATGGAGATGCACCCACCAATTCTGAATCTGATTCAAGGCACCAGGCGGCTTCATTGTTTGAGCTTCATGAAAAGCAGCTGGACAAGAGTTTCTTTTATCCTAAGTGTATCCATTTTATTATAATGCAAGCCAGCTCAGTCATTCTGCTGGACCCCAGTGAATGATCCACAGCAGTGAAGCTTATGCCATTTAAATACAGTGTCAGAGATTTTGCCAAGATTTGTAATTTGGAAGGCAGCAGACCTAGAAAACATTAACTTCACTTTAAGACACGTGTGTTCCTTGCATCAAAATTATACTGCCAGGGTCAGATTAAGAAAATAAGGAGTTTTCTGTT